ACAATTCGGTCGCCCATCGTCTGCAAAGGGATCCTACTCACCAACTTTCGGCGTCTAATACTAGTTCCTCATGTGACGATATCCACGAGGCTGTCTCTGTAGTGGTGCATCCGCGATTCTGATTTGTACTACCGCTCATATTTCTTTGTTTTACTCATTCACGATCTCAACAGTAGACGGTTCTAGTTCCATGAAAATTGGAGAACATTTGAGGAAGTAATCGTTTTCCTGAAATTTCCGCTATCTATGTTTTTAAACAAACAACCTAGCAATTTTCTCCTCATGTTTCCCTTTGACAAAGCTATTACTTCAGAATTCTTACCATAAATCAGAATGGATTCATCTGAAAAATTCCTTCTGTGTCGAGACACGTTATAAGATATTCAGAATTTGTATATAGCTCACCTCTTCGATAACTATACAGTACAATATAACCTTTCTCAACCTTTCGTTCAGCGCAGATAAAGCGATACAACACAAGTTTGAATTCTAGTAGAGGGATGTTTGACAGCAGTATCGCCCATTTTTCGGAGAGTCGTATTCTCTGGTATTACTAATTTTTCTCGACATTCCTCTGTGAAAATCGGATTATACATAACAATCTGCTTCTGATGGATCTAGGAAACTGAAGACCAAACAAAACGGGATTGAAAGGCGCATCTACAGCGTTCCGTTTATCGGGTTTAAGCTTCTCTTATTTACTTGATGCTTGAACGGCCCGCCCTCAATGGTTGTGCGGGATCCAGCATAATCACCATTTTTCGGAGACTTGCTGGTTAAGCCACTGTGGTTCCCTGTAATCCCGTGGTCAGCTTGGCCATAGTCTGCTCCAGGACTTCACCACCACAGGTAGTCGGAGTCCTTGTGGATCAGAGAGAGATTTACCACCATGCGACTTTGATACCAGGTGGTGGATCCTACTATTGGTTTACTCTTAACTAGACTTCCTGATCAAAACGTCGGACTCCTTTTAAGCTTCTCATTGTGGGAAAATAACGATGTCATCAGAAGATTCACTATTTTCCTAATAAGCAACTGTTTTCTCCACTTTCCTAAACCTTTAACATTGTAGTTGATTAAAACGCTTCTTTTCTGTAAAAATACTTTCCGATATGATAGAAGGAGTTAACTAGAATGCTTTACTCTGAGGGTAAAAAATTTAACGATTTGCTTAGACAAATTTTCTGAGAGATGTCCATGTCGGGCGGAACATCTTGAGTAGATAGCAGAGTTTCGCTCTCAGTTGCCGATAAATCTTTTTACACGACCTAACATCACATACTGTGTCGATTCAAGCACTTCTTTCATTCAAATCGTTTCGTCGCAACCATATTCTATAAACCATGACCATCGCTGCTTGAGGATTTTTAGCCCTCTTTATGAGTATCGTTAAGTGCTGGTCAAGTCGATTCTCCGTAGATTCGTGGGATAACCGGACTCGAGTGCTCCCACGTCTTCACCGTAGCCAGTCGCCAGTCTGTTTGGATCGAAATGTTTTCAGACAGCGCCAATCTGCTAACTCCGGCGAGGGAGAGGCTTGAAAGGCCCGGTTTGTGGTCACCTTGCGCGTGTTGGACTGCATCACTACCACTGATCTACTCGCTGCTGTCATAGGTGCAGACGGTGAAGCCGAATTACAGCAGCCATATAGAGTTTCAATGTGTTCTCTTTCGACTATTTCTGAACTGTTCGGAAACATTCCAAAGTGATCCGAGGTCTCCAGAACTTGCAGACACTTAGTGGGTAACCAAAATCGTCTTCAAGTTCTTGATTCAGACAGAAAAATATCGACAAATCCGTTAGCAAAATAAAGTAATAGCATAACTAAAGTAACAAGATAAAGGCATGAATTTGCACCTGATGATGTGTCCTTAGGTCTACAAGTCGAAAAGAGTAGAAGAAAGCGTTATAGAACTGGGAGGCTACAGTAGTCAATATCCCTTTGTGTGTATAATCTCCAAATGCTTATTTGCTTATGAATAAAGAGGTACCGAATTCTCTTCTTCAGATATTCCCAGAATTTGAAGTAGAAAAGAAAAACAATATCATTTAAGACCTGGTATGAGCCTATCTTGAGCTATATTTTACTATTCCATTGCACTGAAACACCACCACAGTTCCAAAACATGTGGTAGGATTTGTCCATCTCAACATTCTCATCTTCCCATACAATCTAACACCGTATGAACTAAAACCTGTTATTAAAAATACTGTTTCAAAATCTAATATTTAGCGAATGATAAGTAAATGACAAAAAGTTATTTACCGCAGTAGCAGAGTTGACGCTCAATGCATGTAGTGCACCGGTACAACTCCAAGTAGTCGAACCAGATATCCCACCCTGTCACCTCAGTCCCGTCGATCGTCGAGTGACTATAAATCCTTCATTTTTCCGTGTCGCGTGTAAAAGTAGAGTTCAAATCGCTCTAGGAATTCGTTAGCATCATATTTTTCTTCCACGACTTTCACGTAGAACTCTGACCACCGGGTCGTCGGTCCACCTGCTTTGCGTTTGACATGACGAGAAATCCAATTGCTAACAGCTCTTGTCCGTCGGTTGTCGTTCATGCATTACATGTCTGGCCCACGTTATTTTCGTCGACATTTTGCCGTATAGAACGGCGTGTCTGATTTTTGATCGTTGACGTAGATTGGAGCTTTGAGTCCCTTCTCTAATTTGCGTGATACGAGAGACTCCTAGCACCTTTCTTTTGACTGTGCGTTGCATAACCCTGAGTGGTCTTTTATCCTACTTACGAAGTGACCAGGTTTCTGACGCACAGGTTGAGGCGGAAAGAATCGCGAAGTCGAAAAAGTGGGAACGGAGTCGGGTGTTTTTGTTCTCCTCACTATATCCTCGATTCTCTTGAAAGCACCGCCACCCGCTCGCTTGCTCTTGCTCAACTCTGGAGCTAAATCGTTCACCATGTTGATCTTCCGACCTAGGTAGACGTAGCTGGAGCAGTGAGAGATATTCATTCCATCGACCGTGAATGGGAAGCATGAAACTAGTCCGCTCCTCATGAACATCGTTTTTGTGAGACTTAGTCGATGATCAATCTTTTCATAGTCTTTGTCAAAGTCAGCAAGCCCCCTTCCGCTGGCTAATGTTTGATGTTACAAGAATAATGTCATCAGCAAAGCGAAGATGGTGTAACTGCCGATCATCCACTCTCATATTGTCCCATTCCAGTGCTTGCATGACGTTCTCAAGGAAGGAGGTAAATAATTTCGGCGAGGTGATATCCTCTTCCCTAACTCCTCCTTTGACGTCAATGTTGATATGGTTGTAAAATGGTGATTTTGCTTGCAAACTTATGTAGTTCACAAATCCAGAGTTTCCATAACTGCTTCTCTCTCAGATGAGTCAAAAGTCTTCTTTAAATCGATGAAAGTGAAACAGAGAAGTCTCCTGTACTCTCTGAATACATCGTTGAGTAACTCCTACATCCGTTCTGTGTGGTTGGTCTTCACGCGACATACTCAGTGAAAGACTCATAGAAAGCGGTGACTGTGTAGAGCTGTGTTAAATATGATTGAAATCTTGGCTTAGCGTTTTCTTTGTTCGGTTATGGAGGTGTTTGGCCGAATAGATTGCTGTCAACTTGACCTTTCCAGGCTCTGAGGAAGGCGAAATCCGCCGAAACGTCAGCTTGTACGTTAACAAAGAAATAAAACAGGATCTCGTGTTTGCTGAACAGAAGTAGAAAGAATATACTATTGAGTGTTGTTATTGTGTGGTTGCGGTCCATGGTACTGAACACTTTTCCAAACCCTGCTTGCTCACGTGGCTGTCGTTCGCCCAATGTTCTATTGACCCTGTTTAAGATGAAGCGAGAGAATTTAATATTATCATATTGTTATTCCTTTACATGGTCCGTCATCACAACTACTGTGGACCCCAGCACTTCCCGCATTCGATTCGTTTTCCTCGCATGCATCGATCACGATTGTCTTCTAACACTTCGCATATTGTTTCATTTGCCGCTTGAAGATTTCGTGTTCTATATTAATGTTATAGAATGCTGGTTGAGTCGATTCTCCTTGCAATCATAGAGATAACCAGGCTAAGTCGTTCCCACTTGGCTTGGAGAGCAGCATTATGAGGGGCCGAACTAGCCTCTTGCTTTATAATTGACGGCATCACCAACCACTGCGCTATTCCCACCTCTTTGGTGTTTAATAATGTTTACAACTAAATGTTGTTCTGACTTTACACTGGTGAAGCAATATGATGAAGAAGTGTCACACAGAATACAGCTTAACCAAGAAAAGCAAAGAACAAAAAGCGCAGCAAGAAGAAATGAGGACAACTTGTTGGTAGCGAATTCTAGATACCGAAAAGAAGGCAGATGTCAACCGAATGGACGTAAGTCCTAAGCAGCTAATTTTTTTGCTCCAATGCCTCCCAACGGTATACCACCTCATCGTGGCTGGGAAATTTTCCTGGGTGCCGGACTGCGGTGTACAACGGGCGGATTCGTCCCGGTCTCCCAAGCTGAAAAGAAGTCCGATGTTTCCATCAAGAAGCCTAACTAAGAGTAAACCAATACCAAGGATCCACCACCGTCCTGGTATCAAAGTCACATGGTGGTAAATCTCCCTCTGATCCACAAGGGTTCCGACTGCCTGTGGTGGTAAAGACCTGGGGCAGACTTTGGCGAGGCTGACCTCGGAACTCCAGGGAACCATAATGGGTTAATCAGCAATCCGAAAAATGGAGATTATTCTGGGACCCCCACAACCAGTGAGGACGGGCCATTCAAGTACCTTTCTAGAAGGCTGCCAGGCAAGTGTATAAAATGACCAGTAAAAAGGAATTTGCAGAAAATACAAGGAACGTGCATAAAGACATGAATGACATTCGATATTTGTGGAGAATATTGTATATACTGGCAATCCTTAGGACGGTTTCGAACGGGTCTGTGGAAGTGTCAAAAACCACAGTTATTTAATTCTTACTCAAAATTATGTTTATCTCAACAATTCCAAGAACTTCGCTACAATTTGGCGAACTGTGTGAGTCCTCCGCAAAACTTGTGGCCAATTAAATGACCGATGAGATGAAGACGATCGGATCCGAAAAACGCGTGCTCTTCTCCATCCTTGTGCACTACTATCCATGGAGCTCCGAACGCCTAGAAAATCAGAACTACAACTCAGATTCAGAACTGCCACAGTAATATAGTACGCCGCTAGTTCTCGAATGAAATAGGGATAAGCCAAATGCAAGCTCATTCATGGTTATCGCGTGCTTTAGTTAATCAAGCTAATGCTAAAGACATGAGTAGTATCAATCTTCGTTTCCAGGTCTCTCATGAAGAAATCCGACCATTTTCTTAGCGGATTTCCTGTTCTTCCTGTTGTACCCTACAGTCATTAGCCCAGTTTTTGGGCCATTGCTCACTTCGGAGCGTTTGTCTCTATAGCAAGTAGTCATCAACCTTCTATTCATCGTCGTTCTTAACATAACAGACGTTATGCTTAACGTAACATAGTACAGCAACATAGCTGACGCTCTTAATACCAGGAGTCTAATTTTTTATGACGGACGCACCTGTGAAACGCAATTTTTAGTGGTGCGGGAGATGATTTAAATGTGACTCATGTCGGCTAATCACACCTATGGAGAGGACGTCCTTTTTGTGGTACTTCACGCTTTATAATTAACTTCTTTAGGCATTTTGCCGGTAATTTTCATTTTCTTTTATATCCTAGGCATTCTAAATGTTCACCTATACATATTCTTATGTTTCTTGTACACTTTAAACTCTTCTCTTAGAGTTCCCAGGATCGACTTTCTCTTAACCTCGGCATTGGAATATGAATGTGTCGTTTTCTTGTTCAGCAATCGCGAGGTTTTTAAACAGCATACATTTACTTCCATAAAAACACAATACAATACAACGCTAGCTGACGTTTCGGCAGTATCGCCTTCTTCAGAGCCGCTTTTTCGTGACTTCCAATGAGGAAGTTTAGAACAGCTCTTCTCTTTTCTTAGACGTTCAAGTGTTTGTTCACAATTCGTAGAGGTGGATAAATGCATAATTTGCCTTTAAATTGACCTCCGGAGGCATATCGATGTATGAAGCCAGTTTGTCTATCCTTCCAGGGAAGTTCTGTCAACTTTGGAGTGTTGGAGGGCTTGGTTAGCCCAGGGCATGGGTTCGAATCAAACAAAAACGTATTGCATAGTACCTCTAATCACTGCGCTAAGTGCGGGCTTATAATATGTGCAGAGTGCTTCGGTATTTTTATGTAGCGCTATTTCCATTTCAATTAATATTTGAGAGGGACGAAATGAGAAACTATAATCTCCCTGAAAATACATGGTGTGGAAGCACACAAATGAGCGCGCAAACCGGTGCCTATTTCGGGAAATAAGCCCATTTCGAGAAACAAGAACTCCCAAAAAAAAACTTGAGAAACGAATTTGCTGGAAGGTGGGTCTGAAAATCGAAAAGATGAGAAACAATAGAAACACATTACCATCTCTATAGTCGACGATATACAATCAAAAGAAGGGTTGTTATCATTTTTGTAGCTGGCAAAGCTTCTTACCTTCTAATTATTTTCGTAACCTCTACCTCTGCAACCTTTCAAAGCATAAAAAAATCCCCCTTGCATATTCTTAAGACCTTTAACGAATTTCCGTCTGCAAGCTTGGACACTACTTAGCTGTGACGAACGTTTCCTTCGACTTGTCATTATCGTATCGCTTATAACGTGTCCCAACCTAACGGTTTACCGCCGCTGGAAGGTGTTCCTGGATGTCGGACTGCGATGTGCAGCGGAGGATTCATCCCCTGGCAGTGTCTCATAAGCTGAGAAGGAGCCCGGCGTTTCCATCAGAAAACCTAGCTAAGAGTAAACTAATACCAGGATCCACCACCATTTTGGTATCAAAGTCGCACGGTGGTAAATCTCCCTCTGATCCACAAGGGCTCCAACTGCCTGTGGTGGTGAAGACCTGGGGCAGACTATGGCCAGGCCAACCTGGGATTCCAAGGAACCAAAATGGCTCAACCGACAAATCTCCTCCGAAAAATGAAGGTTATGCTGTGGCCCGCACAACTATTGAGTACGGGTCATTCAAATATCAAGTATCAAGCATAACGTGTCCTCTGAGATATGACGTCTCATAATTCTTTTGAATTCATTCTCATTCACCCTTGTCCTTTCTATAGTGTTTTCAGTTCTGGTGTCATATTCATCTACAACATTGTCGATGACAGTATATTTCCACGAGAAGGCAACGTGTGCGAAAAACATCGTCGGCTTCAAAGCTCTCGAACGAAGATCATTGTTCAAAAACATTATATCCCTATCACTAGACAATACTTCGTTCTCCAACAAGAACGGCATCCATGAAGGAAAGCCTTCCACTAGAACGAATACAAATCATTTAAGTAGTTCCAATCGAGAAAACCACACATCCAACGACAGATGAGGAGGCTTTCAACTCATAGATTGCTACGGATGGTTTCTTTTTTCAACTGCTAAATTTAATCATCTCTGTTTGCTTCATCCATCTTATTGCGCATTCCATTTTATAGCATGGTGGTCTTCTTTAAATAGTTATCAAGTCCTAGTACCTAGATTTGTTGGATTTCACTATAGTTGTGGTTAGACGTTAGAACGTAAGCGAATAAAATAATTGAACATGATCTAATCTTCGAATTGAAGATAAGTGACCCGGATTGTTAAAGGTTCGAATAGATCCATATGCACGAACGTACTAGTGCTGATCAGCAATCCAATACCCCCCACTCTTTAGCTACTATATATTATGCACCATCAAATTCTCTAGGAACGCTTTCATTGGCTCTTCAATGACCAACTGAACGAGCACCATTTAACCTTGCAGCAGACTTGTAATGATCACTCAGTTAAGATTGGAATTAGGGGAAATTCAAAACGCTTACATTATATTTTGTCACCTAGATCTAGTCGGATAAATGGCTAAAGAGAAGTGTTCTGTACTCACTCCAGAGTTAAGGGCATCAGAAGTGTTCTGCTGAAGTTGGTCAGCTACATCATCGGCGTTCAATTTTTCGATGAGACGTGAGTAGTCAGTAACTCCACTGGTCGTTAGCACATAAAATCTCGTTAAAATCTCATTATTAAGAGAGATAAGACTAAAACAGTGACTAAATCTGAGAAGATTGAGCAGAAACAAATCGTAATTCATCTATCGACTCTCCCATATAGACGATATGGAAACTACCTTCTCAAAGTCTTCTCGATGGAAAATTGGCTTTCCCTCCATCCAAATTCGCTTCCAGAACTCGCGAGAAGTAGTCTCCAGTTTTTCTGAATGTTGATTGCGATAAACTACTTAGTGTCATAATAACAGCGAGTTCCTATGAAATGGATGGCCTCATGAGATGAACAAGTAACACACACTTAATTAGTTTGCTCTTCAACACTTCCATATGAACCGAACAACTCAAACTTCGTAAACGATATATCTGTATAAATGTTCTTTCGAAGTGCCATTATTGTCCTGATGCGAGGTTGGTATGAGTTGTTGTTGTTCGACAGCTGACGTTTCGACGATAAATCTATATCATTAGTGAAGAGCTAACACATGAATACAAATAACTAACATAAAATAAGGGATGCGGTGACGAATATATTGGGAAGACAGTTAAACCACTTTGTGTCCGCATAAACCAAGATGGGAAAGTTAAAAATCGCGAAAGCACTCCTCTGGGTACACATAGGGCACAAAAGCACATTGTCCTTTCTGGGGAGGCGACTGTCAGGATGCCAGAGCAGGAATCAAAAACATCAATGCGCAAGACTCTTGAGGCGTTTTGGATGAATTTCAAAAGTCCAAAAACGAACAGGAAAGACGAATGCCTCACTATCACACGTGACCTGGAGCCTCATTTCGAATTGACTTGCGTGGGTTTCACTCGTCATTCCACGTGAACAACACGGGTGGTCCCATTCGCAACAGCAAGGTGAGTAGCTTTTGAACAAATTGGCGTTTGTTTATGTGTTAACCCATCATTACTACTATAGATTTATCACCGAATTATAAGATTATTTTAACTTATTATTTACCGCCTACTCTTTACTACTTTAAAAAGAGTAGAGAGTAAATAATAAGTTAAAATTGTGATTATAACTGCAGCCTCAGCTTAACTGGGTTCGTTACCGATTTGAGCTCCCAGATCAATCCCGATTACGGTTGATTGTTGACGGCAAAGGATCGATAGAACTAGGTGAGAGACAGGCGAATCGAAGAACCCGCATGGTGTTGCGGTGAACGCGTTACTCCCCAGAGAGGACAATAGCGCACTCGTTCCCCACCGCAGACATCTGCGGTCCGGAGTTTTGCAAATGTCGCAGCATCATTGAAGTTATATAAGACTATTGTTATATAAAATGCGTCCAGAGTCCGAGGAAGGCCAAATTGCCGAAAGGCCGTTGAACAATAATGACAACTTATACCAACCTCGCATCAGCTCAACAAAAACAGTTCGTAAGAACATTTATACCGATATATATATATATATATATACTGATCATTTATGCCAAGTTTATAAAAAATTGGTCTTTTGAGTTATTAGCTCTTAAACAATGAGCTGGTTGGATTGCAGTTTTCTTGGAGGTCTGGTTTCTTGAAGGACACCTAAACTACTAAAACTGTTTAGCAAACAAATAATTAGCAGACAACCAGTGAAGCCTTAGAATTTAAGCCACGACCCTCAAAATCCAGATCTGCAGATTTGACATTCAACCCTTTCACAATGAAGCAGATTTTTCGAGTACTGGAGACAATTCCTTTAGAAAATGAAGTATTTCTGGAGTTAAGAACTTTAAAGATTTATGGAAGGGGCAATCAGCACAGTGGTAGTGGTGTCCTTCAGGAACGCTCCAGCCCGGCTATCTCAAGACTCCAGAGGAAATTGTTCAACCAGCATTATACAACATCCAAGATGAAATGAAAATCGTCAAGCAACAACTGAAGCCACACGTTAAATTGGAAGATCGCAGACCATCGATGCGAGAAAACGAAACGAATGTGAAAAGTGCTACGATCCACACACAAGACGTGAAGACGGCTCATATAAAACAAAATAGAAAAAAATAAAAGATTTGTAGAAGAGACCGTGGTCTACCGCATTGGTTGTACAATTTTTACACAGTGACCTCCTACACTTAAATTTTTCTAGAATAAAGATTTTCAAAGAATTGACAACGAAATTTACAAGTTTAAGAATCCCTACGCAAAAGCAGCAGCTGCAAGCTGAATGATACGGTGAAGAACACCTTTAAAATACGAAACTTTGAGCAAAAGAAAACGGAAGGAATATCGGTTGTTGGATCCAGAAAATCAGAATTCCATCTTGGGTGAATAGATGGACTTTTGCCCTGCAAGAAAGAAAATGCATAACCCAAAGGTTTCTACTGTAATTGACAAAATTCGCGCTAAGCTGAGATATATTGACCTAAAGTTGGAACCTGTCATAACTTCCGAGCTCTATTACTCCTCCAACAAAGATCACCTCATCGCGTAAGAGATAAGAAGAGTTTTGGGGATCAAATGCAATACGAAGTTTGATTAATTAATTTGAAATAGAGAAAACTTACTTTTCTCCTCATATCCCGTTCTCCTGTTAAGAACTCTGGTCTTCTTTTTTGGTTGAAATGTGACTAAACACAAGCTCCAGTCTTGATTATCTATTTTAAATTTTGCCTGTTAATATTGCGTCGTCTTCTCCCAACAATTTTGACATTCCCATACACTAAGCGCTAGCTATAGCAAACAAATGCCGGCTGAGTTCGACAGAGGTTGCGGAAACTGGTCTGTAGATGAACCTTTACCAAATTCTTTTCAAAAGAAATGGATTCATTCACGTTCAGCTGAACGAAGATTTCGGATTGCTGCAGTTATGTGCAGCTGAGTCAAGGAGCCAACATGATGAACGACTTCGCTCGAGAGCTGAGCAAGAGGCAGCGAGAAGCTTGGGCGACTTTCAACAACACTGAAGATGTAATGAAGAGAACAAGAACACCCTAAAAACCTTAAGAGGAGAAGAACATTGTCGTCGAAAGATTGGCTATGCAGCTACTCTTTCGACGATAACGTTCTTGTTGCTCCAATGTATGCTTCCGTAATATGGACGCTTGCCACATGACAATAATGAAAAAGACGACAAATCAATTAGTTTTGTCGAAAGTGCCACTGAGAGAGATTAGGAGTGTCCTGCTCGTGTAGGAGAGAAAGAAAGAGAGAGTGATAGAAAAGGATCTAAAGTCCTGACCTACCTGAACAACTACAAATGAATACACATAGCAAAATGTCGAGAATCAGATGACCTATTGCAATTGCATCGGTGAACAAGAGACGTCAAAATTGACTTCACGTAAGCTCACAACAAAAAACAGCCGACTGGATAGTCAGAATTCTTCATAAAAACAGGAGAAGAAAAACAATGGGGTTCTTCAATTTTGTCGAGCGAGAAGAATCCACTAGGCAACTTTGGCAAACGTTGGAGACACGACAGTGTTTTCCCTAAGAAGCCAAAGATCCTTTAGCCTAGTCGGCACGCTATTCAATGTCCATTTAACTCACGTGGTTGTTCATTCTGTATTACCAATAGCAGCTTCATGGCATTGTCGCTAGTCTCAGTTTTTACCCACTTCATGAAGTTCTGAAATATAAAAAGACTGAAAACCACCTTTCAACGACCAACATTTCTCGACAAACCTCTGGAGGAGAGAGTTTCATTTCCCAAAATTCATTATTTCTCTGTAGATCTTTTAGCACATAGAGGCTCTTAGAAGATAACAATCCCGGCGGTTTGTTACCTGAAAATCACACGGGCTTTTTGAAAGAAAAACTATGGAAGGAAAATTTTGATCATGGAATCAAGAAAGTGGTACCGCTTGATCTCATTATTGTCCCAAGCGAAAAAGGCTTGAGATTGACCTGAATGGGCCATATGTTCTGATAGCGAAGTAGCGACTGCAATAATGCACAAATTAATCCTACATTATCACATATGATTAGATGAACAGTGGAAAAAGAAAAGCTTTTTATGATAAAAGGCGAAGAGCTTGAAAATGGTCCCTGTGGCTTCTCTCATTTTTCTTGATCTTCAATACTATGTGAGTGTTGCAGTGAGATTTTTTTCATAAAGCCTTAAGAAATGCTACAATGCAGTAAAGGATTCACTACAGGTAAACGATGGTCGTGGATCTTGAGGTTTGCCACCTCGAGAATGGCTTCGTGACGCGACAGCGACAATTTCTCGCATTGCTTCCTCTGCTTCCGAATAGAGATAGCGAAAATCTCATCATGGATTCTCCAAGTAGCTCTCTATACTCTTTACTGGGTAATCTAGATATCTAGCACTACTAACGCTCAACACATCTATCTCAGAAGTCTGCGGAAAAATCTCATGAAAACACCCAACTGCTAAGTTGTGTGGAGATTGTAGTGGGCGCGTGTAGCACAGTGGTCGGAGGTGCCCTGTACACACACGTGGAATCGATCCGGGCGCCCATGGCTCACGAAGCCCTCCATCACTCCGGGATCGGCAAATTTGTACCAGGCTTGTCTGGAAGGAGAGCAGCACTGGCTCGATACATCGGTAGGCCACTGTGAGTCATTGTAAAGGCCAGATATGCATTCAATCACCTTCAAACGATGCCTAATGAAGTAGAATGAACGGTGCATCCCCCAAGGATTGATCAACAACGCCGAGAAATTTATCCTTTACACTTTATGGAAATTGTACAGATACGCACAGGATTCTTCATAACGTGCGTATTCGTGCCCTAAGTGAGTAGCTACTATCTCAAAAACCCACTTTTTTGAACCTCAGGAAGAATAATCAATAGTTTTCTCCATGATTGAGCTAATAATTAACACGGAGAGTTGATCCCTCTACCAGATTCAATTTGATGCGACCACAAGTACCCACATCGTTACAACGACCAATTTGGGAGCATCGACTCGGATCAGCGTGACTTTGAATCAGGCGAAGGCGCCGAAACGTCAGCAGAAGAAAAGATTTTTATACTAACCTCGTCTAAGCTCAGTCATGTAGGGGATTATTAAGTACCCACCAATTTCTCAAAGAACATAGAACTTTTCTGTTCTGGACGGATTTGTGACTAGCAAGACCTCAACTCTGAAATCCGTTTCCATCGTCAATTATCTGCCTTCCCACTGGGACTTGACGTGAGATTATAAGGATGCAGTTCATGTAAGAATTCGAAATGGCGATGGTGTTGTAGATAACATTTTGACCGTGTGCAAACCACATGCGATGCTCAAACCATTTGAGAAACATAACGGTGAGTTTTGTTTCATAGGTAGATCTCTGTTATGCTATGTGAGCTAGATTTTCGTTAGGACTAGAAAATATTCGTAATATAATATTCATAATGATAAAATACCTCCTAACGGTTTACCGCCTGATCGTGGCCAAGAGGTTTTGCCGGGTTCGGGCTGCGATGTCCAGTGGGGAGATTCATCCCCATAGTAGGGCCTCCAAGCTGAGAACGAGTCCGGCGTTTTCATCAAGAAGTCCAGCTTAGAGTACGCCAATACGAGGATCCACCACCATCCTTGTATCAAATTAGTCGCAAGGTGGCATATCTCACAGTGACGACCTTGGGATTCTAGGGAACCACGATGGCTAAAACAGCAAAACTCCGAAAAAGTGAAAATTATTACCCTTCCCGCACAACTAGTGAGGACGAGCCATCCAAATATCCAAGTAAGTAATAATAAAGTAAGACTATATAACACTTCTATGCTTTGAAGAATGCGAAGTCACCGAAATGTGAGCTATCGCATTTTAGGAACAAGCGCTAACATGCCCACGGGAGTTCAAAGGAAGGACAGTTCGTAGTTCCAGCAAGAGTTCAGAACAGTTGGCATCCATAGATTTTTCCCATGCGACTGTTATTACTTGTTCTAATTACTGTTTTAACAATTAAACTTGATTATTGAGACGATTCTTGAAGGATAAAGGATAAAACTCTCGGTGTTGGTCAACCCCTGAAGAACACGCCATGCTTTCGACTTCATAAAGCATCTGGTTGGAGGTGGTTGAATGCATATTTGGCCTTCACAATGACTCGCGGTGGCCTGCTGATGTATCGAGCCAGCGCTATTATCCTTCCATACAAGTCTGGTACCAATTTGCGGACCGCGGTTGTATGGAGGGCTTGGTGGGCTACGGGCGCGGGGATCGATCCCACTTGTGTATCGAAGAGCGCCTCCGACCACTGCGACACACTCGCCTCATGCAAGAGACGAAACTTACAGTTCTTTATTTACTCTGCAGTAAAATGAAGGTTTCTAAGAAATAAAGAACAGAAACAATACGTGTCCGTTCATCGAACCTCGAATGCGATCCAAGAGTAGGGAGAGATGACGTCATAGTACAAATCGATTTTCACCTTTACAGCCGAGACGACCATCTAAAAATGGAATTTTTTTGTATTAGGATGAATTCATATAGCTACGGTTAAAAGATACCAGTGACTATACTCGTTTACATTTTTCAGCTTACACGAGGTTGTCACATAACGTTTATTCGGATAACGTTTCGACGTCTTCGTCTTCTTCAGGAGAAGGAGTCGTCGACTTTGACCATCGGCTTTGAAGAGGATGAAGACGTCCCAACGTTACCCGGGTAGAGTTATACAACAACCTTGTGCGAGGTGAACAATCTCAACAAATCCGTTGATCACTCACTCCGAAATCAAGTCGATGTCTGCTCAGCGAAGTCAGCGACTAGATACGGATTCAGAATAGAGCAGTACTGGAGTTGGTGAGCTGCGTACTGCCTGCTGGTACAAAGTATAAGTGAAGATCGATAAGATAACGACCGGTTTTCACCTTGTGACGACCGGTCAGAACCGGGCCAAAACTGCTAGCGTTCGAATTCTCGTCGTTCACCTTTGCTCTAGTAACAAGTACTTTATGACCTAAAACAGCAGCTATTCTTGTATGTCAAGTACTTAAAAATGACTATGGAGATTTTTCTTCTAGATTTTCAGCGAAGAAGGAAGACCCTACAGACGATTCAGCTCAAACGAAGTTGCTTGTTTTGTCCATTCAATGCTCGTAGTGACATTGCGTCCTTACACAGAACTCTTCAGACCTTTGTGAATTTCCCTGAGAGCTTAACTAAAAACAAGTTTGTATACATGTATGGTGCGTATGATGTAGTGGTCGGGAGCGCCTGCAACACACACGCACACACACGCACACACACACACACACATACACACATACACAAACACATGCACATACACATACACATACACATACACATACACACCTGAGATCGATCCTTGCGCGCCCTTGGCCCACCAAGCCTTCCATCTCACTGAGGTTGACAAATTGGTACCAAACTTGTCTGAGAGGATAGCAGCACTGGCTCGATACATCGGTAGGCTACCGGGAGTCATTGTGAAGGCCATATATGCATCCAATCAGGATGCTTAATGAAGTCGAATACATGGCGCATTCCTCAGGGATTAATCAACGCCGACAGCTTCATCCTTTATGTATACTTGTAATCAAATAGTGAATTCTGTCCAGAAAGAGGCTTTTTAGCGACAGTAGTGCCGTCATGACGATGATTCGCTGCTAGTCTTCCCTTTTACCGTAGTTCATCACAAGGTCTGGATTTCCATCACAACTGTCTCTTTTGTCGTTGACAAAGGAACGGGTTCGTCCGACTGCTGACCTTCAACGGTCTCGTCTCCATCCTGATGCTGACGTCAGTGTTTGTCTTCGACCGAGCCACAACCGAGGAAGGGAACAGCTCATCCAGGTAACATTTCTCTTCCATCATAAACGTTTTCGGATAGTTTATCACCACGTAGTGATAAATCCCTTTTCTGAGTCCATTTTAGGAAGATAGCAAAGCTCACTATGAGTTCCCGCCTTTTGTTGTTGTTGATATCCTCGTGGAACGAACGAAACATTAATAATGTTATTAATATTATAGTACTATTTTCAATGCTGTTTTATGTTTCGTTGTCGTTAATGTTGTGTTGTTTTGTTGTAATGTTGTTATTGCTGTTATTTTGTGTTATAATGTCACTTCTCCCAACGGTATACCGCTTCATCGTGGCTGAGAGGTGTTTCTGGGTGTCGAGTGGCGGGAGATTCACCTCCCTAGCAAGGTCTCCATGTTGAGAAGGAGTCCGGTATTTCCATCAGGAAGCTCAACTAAGAGTAATCCAATACCAGGATCCACCACTGTCCTGGTGTCAAATTAGTCGCATGGTAGCAAATCTCCCTCTGATCCATAAGAGCGGCAACTGTCTGTGGCGGTGACGACCTTGAGAAGACTTTGCCCTGGCTGATCTCGGAAGTCCAGGGAAACACAATGGCTTAAGCAGCGGAATTCCGAAAATTTGGAGATTATGATGGGCCCACACAACCAGTGAGTAGGGCCATCCAAATATCAAAGTATAATGTTACTATAGTCTTTTTTGTAGATGTTCTATGGTACTCTGACTTTGGCTTTCCCTACGTCAGTGCTCGCCGTTTGAAGCGATTCGAAATGCTTCTTCTCCACTTACATTCTCTTCGTTCCTTCCTTTCTTCCTTTCTTTTGATATGAACTTTTGATATAAAGCAAGCCAGGTGTGGCAGTTCTTCTTTAGTTACTCGTTTTATCGTTTAGATATGTCACAAGCGGCAGGTCAGCTTCTGAACCGAGTCCTGATGGTACCTCCGAAGCACTTCTCCGTGGAGGTACTGAGGTCCTTATCCAGTACTAAAGAATTTCGTTGTATAGCTTCATGACCTTACTTTAGTACACGATAAATCCATGGATGGGAGGAATAGTGAATAAGGAGAAAGCCAACGAACAGTGGAATTCTCTTAAGGGGGCAATTGAGAAAGAAGGAGTCCAGGTACGAGTGATGCGTATGTGATTAATCGGTGTCTGGGATAAATATTTGCTGAGTTTTGATGAATTTACTTAGCTGCGTCCATTGCATTTAAGTATGTTTTGTTTCTTTCTTGCTGTACTAAAATGATTTCAAATGTTTCCTGTCCTTCCCAGTAACAGTTATGAAGTCATTCTTGGCAAGTAGACCCAAAGCTTCCCAAGTAAGAAGTAAGTTCACAGTGAAGCTTATCTAACCTTAAATGCACCTTATGTCGCTTTGGACTACTTTTTATTAACCAGAAAATTATCAAGTATATCACCATCATCTATGGGGAGGCTATGCAGTTGTTGCAGCGACTGACCAATCCTTTTTCCCTAAAATAAACGCTCCTATGTTTTTTTGACTTGTTGTTTATCAGGTTTTGAAGTGGATACTTACTTACTTGATATTTGAATGACCTGTCCTCACTGGCTCTGCGGGTCCCAGCATAATCTACATTTTTCGGAGATTTGTTGGTTAAACCATTGTTGTTCTCCGGAATTCTCAGGCCAGTCTGGCCAAAGTCTTCCCCAGGTCTTCACCACCACAGGCAGTCCCAGCCCTTGTGGATCAGAGGGATATTTGCCACTATGCGACTTTGATACTAGGACGGTGGTGGATCCTGGTATTGGATTACTCTTAGCTAGGTTTCCTGATGGAAGCGCACTACTTCTCAGCTTGGGAGACTCCGCCAAGGGATGAATCCCCTGCTATACATCGCAGTCCTGTACACAGGAACACCTTCCAGCCACGATGAGGCGATAAACCGTTAGGAGGTTGAAATGGATAATTCGTTGCAAAAATAATTGTTCGTAGGCCATTCAAAGAGGAACACCGTTGCTCTTATAAATAATGTTATGATCATGTTAACTTTTTTATTTGCTGCCTATTACAATTTTTCACAGCAGGATATTATGTGTGATACAGCCACAATGATGCTGAGATATTTGCAAAATTCCGGACCGCAGGTGTGTGCGATGGGGATCGATATTACCTATTACCCTTTTTGATCACCATTCCCGGTGGCTCACAGGTTACGCATGCCACCACTGATGCCTTCGCTTTGCCATCCGTTCAGCCAGTTCCTCTACCTAACGCTACCATAAGCAACCATCCGTCAATGGAATTGATATGGGGAGCCCAAATTGGCAATGAACTAGTTGAGCTGAGGCTGTAGTCGAAGTCACAATGCCACCCACCGCAGACACCTGCGGTCCGGAGTTTTGCAAATATCTTAGCATCATTGTGATGTGATATTTAATGATTAGTCTAGGTATCTTGGGTATATTATTATTCTAGGTATTGACGATGGATCAGACACCCGGCCTTCCCGATCAGGTCTTCGTTTGCAATTCTGGTCTCGTCTACAACAATAAAGTCTATCTAAGTAAATTCCGACACAAAGAAAGGTTGGTACTAGACTGTCTAGGAATTGATGTAATTTCTATTTCCTCAAAATTCGACGTTTTATGGTTTAAAAAACTTTTTACTTTTCTGTTACGCTTAATTACAAAGCACAGTTTTTGCTTTAAATTTACTTTTAATTTTCATTACATTTTTTCCTCATAATAACGCGTTTTTCCTACACTAAACTAGTCTGTGTTCATTGGTGGCTGTAGGGAAAGAAATGGAAGACAAGCAAGTTTACGCGATTGCTTATGAGTTCGAATTGAGACGTGAAGTCGTCGGACGGTTTCGTGAAGCAAATGAGAGCAGTAAGGATGAATAGGAGAAAAGGTAGAGGCAAAGTGCTAGCGTTGGCAATGGCCAGCTGGGATATCGTCGTTATGAAGCCTGAGCCGCCTTTCTTTTGCTTGGAAGAAACTATCCACTTTATGATTGTACAGCGTCGTGCCGCTTGGGTCGAATTCCGGACGACGTTTAGCGCACTATTATGCAAAGAAGAAGTCTTGGAACACTTCTCAGCGCTAAATATGCATTGGTTGAAGGCTATTTCTTTCCTATACTTGGCAAATGAAACATGGGTTATTAATATAATGTTAAGGAGATTATCGTATCAAGGAAATATTGTTAGAGCATCGACAAAGTGCGTCAAGATTTTCAAAATCTACTATCAGCTTAAGTTTATCTCTAACCTTACAGCCGCACAAAAATGTGGCAAGCGGGAAATTAGAGAATTAATAAACTCGAAAACAATAAGATTGTCTGTTAGTGATAAGGGGGGAGAGTTCGTAGTCATCCCTCGCCAGCTGGATGTTGAGATAACAGAGGAACATCTTAGTGATGCTACTCTCTATCGCCCATCCTCTGAAAAGGAATATAAAAGTCAATACCGAAAACTAAACAATCAATGGGTCAGCGTGGCAAAGGCTGCGGGTTTAAAATCATCGGTTATTTCGCAGTTTAAAATCGATAGACCAACATGTCCCGTCCTATACCTACTTATTAAAACACATAAGTTGGTATCACCTGATGATCATGCGTCAACCAATCCGTCATCATTTAAGGTTAGACCGATCATCAGCTGT